GCTCTCATGACCCCAGTCCACAGGACCTCTGACTCCTCAGGCTTAGTCTGCATTCTCATGTTCTCTGAGTCCTTGTTCAGCAGCTGCTCCTCCACTGACTCTGGACCTTTCTGGTTCTCAATGGCAGGCGCAAGAGTGACCCGTTGTGTGGCATGTATTCCCATAAGTTTCTCCATGCTTGAATGATTCACACACATCTGTGGGTGGGCATCTGCAGCTGGTGCATGGTGGGCCAATTGTGTCACTGTTTCTCTGTGTCATGGTAGTTCTCAATTGAGCAGTGGCGGCTGGCCTGAGGGCTGGCACGCAATGGTGCTCACCGCCACGTGGCTCCCGCTGAGCCAGGGGCCCTCCTTCCGGGCGCCTACAAGGCAGGGAGCGAGCCGGTTGGAAGACCGGGGCTCCCCACCTGTTGCTCCCCCTGCGAGGTGGGCTCTCCTTCCGGGCGTCTTGTGTTTGTTCTTAAAACCCACTTCCATCTTTCTCCAGTAATGATTCTAAGACAAACAAATGGAAATGCAGAGCCAGGCTGTCTTTGAAATTCAAAACCTGAAAAAGGGTCTCTTTGACTGATGTTTCTTTCACTTCAGCATAATGAGGCTCTGCATAGGCGTTGTTCTCTGCTCCTTGGTTGTGGGAGTCAGCAGTGACGGCTGGTTTTCATTCTTCAAGGAGGCTGTCCAAGGTAAGAAACCTGGAGCTTGGTGGATATCCCGCGGCCTTCACAGTATGCTAGACCAGAGGCCATACACCTGCTGGATGTAGATTCTCCTTAGAGAGGCCACAAGTGGACCAGAGGAGTGTGCTTTCTACGCCCTTTTCTTCTCCCACCTTGGTTTCACTTGGCACCTTCCCATGGGGTCTCCCTAGCATAGGGCACAGATAATTTAGGCCCAGCCTCTATTGCTAGCTCACAGATGGCACATTCCCAGCCTTAGAGGGTACCTGTGAATTTGGTATATCTCCAGTGGCAGAGGAGCTAAATACATGCCATGCCCTATCCCACTTGCACACAGAAATCCCATCGTGCCCCAGACAAATGGCCAATGGCTGGCGTAAGGGCTCACGGAAATTCAGCCCTATGCTAGAAATTGCAGACATGCAATACAAAGAGCAAATTCTCCCCTATTAGCTATATGGGGCTAAGGCAGGGCCAGGAAACTGAACTTTGTCTTTCCTAGTGGGAAATGAAGGCTACTGACCAGTTGCTAAGATGGGAAAATTGTGCTGTCAGGCTTTACAGTACTTAGAACTTCCTATGTTGTTCTTCATTCTGCTTCTGAAGTTTTATACAGTTTCAATGGAAAGTTCCTAAGTTTCAGTTTTGAACTTCATAAATGTGTGTGTGTGTGTGTGTGTGTGTGTGTGTGTGTGTGTGTGTTGCTAGGGGTCAAACCTAGGCCCTCTTGCATGCTAGGCAAACACTGCACCACTGAGCTCATTCACAGACTCATGTGCTTTTGAAAAGTAATAGCCTTCAAATAACAATTAAAAAAAGTTTTGGTGGTAACTGCTAAGTTTTTGTCCATATAATAAAGAATAGCTCCTTCTGCACGTCAGCATATTTGAGAATTTGTTGTGTGGCCCGTCAGCATTTAAACCTCCTGGGTGTGTTTGTTTTAAAGTAAGTTCTTGAGCCTCTTCCTGTCTCTACTGAGACACAGTCTCAGAGGGGAAGTGGAGTAAAAATCCCCTGTTGACCTCAAAGAGGAAGATTGGCAGATTTTGCTGTCACCTAGTGGTAGACGCTGTTAGGTGCTTTAAATAAGCTTCTGCTGAGCAACCTGAAAAGCACTGAGTAATATCAAACATGCATCGAAAAAAGACCAGTCCTTAATGTCATGCCAGAGATACACTGTTTGACAGAAGTACAGATGCAAAATAATTAATACATTGAAATAGCGAGAAAGGAAATACAGAATAATTAAGACTGCCCCTGTGAGCTTTTCTTTTGTCCCACTGAGTTGGTTTCAAGAAGTCCTTGAGATGTAAGTCACAGTTAAAAAAAAATATTTACTGATTGAACAACTCACACAGACCTGCCTCAGACTTGTTTTGTTTTGCATTTGTCTTTTTAAGATAGGGTTTCACTATGTAGTTCAAGCTGGCCTTGAACTTACTTTGTAGCACAGGCTGGCCTCAAGCTCACAGCAATCCTCCTGCCTCAGCCTCCCAGTACTGGGATTATAGGTGTGCGCCACCACACCTGGCTGGATCTGTTTTTTAATTTAGTTTAAAGAGGAAAAAAATAAAATTTCAAAACAAGATAATAGGAGAGTAACAATGGTTAATACATTTCTGTATTTTTATCTTTAGTTACTAAGAGTATAAGATAGTGGCATTTAATTATCCAAACAATATTAGCACAACTAGATCTGTTTTGAATGGCCATTTTCCCACTATTCTTTTTTAAAATTTAAAAAATAAGATGTAACTTAGATACAGTAAACCAGACAGCTTGACAAACTTTTACATGTATAAATACCCATATCACTGGGGACATAGCTCAGTGGCACAAGTGCCTGCCTGGCAAGGGCAAGGTTCTAAGTTCAATTCCGGTACCAAAAAATTAAAAAAAACAAAAACACCCATATTACCACCATTAAATCGAGATGTGGAACCTGTTGAGCCCCACAGCAGGGTGTCTCATACCTTCTTCCAGGTAATCACCCCACCAAAATTAACCCCTCTTCTTACTTCTCTCACTGTAGTTTAGTTTTGCCTGCTGTTGATCTTGGAATGAAAGAAATACGCATGGTGGTTTTGTATTTGGCTTTCTTTCACTCAGCATTATGACTGTAAGACTCATTCATGTTACATGTTTCTCTACTTCATTCTTTTTTATTACCAGATAGTATTCCATGACACAGCTATATCACAGTTTATTTATCCATTCTGCGCCGCCAAATAATTAGGTTTCTTCTTCTTCTTCTCTTAGTTTTTTAGCTTTGGGCTATTATGGATAAATCTTCAATAAACATTTGCATACATGAACTTTGGTGGACATAAGCTTTCATTATTGTTGGGGATGCATACCCAGGAATGGAATTGTAGAGTTATAGGGTATATGTTGATTTAGCTTCTGTAATAGGAAAAGGACCCACTTTCTTCAAGTACTTTACTCATTTCCCCTTTCCCTCCCTCTCCCTTCCCTTTCCTTCTTTGTTCTCTCCCTTGCCACCCCTTCCATACTGGAAATTGAACCAGAGACTTCTGCAAGGGCTATATTCCCAGCCCTTAAAGTGTTTTTTTTTTTTTTGTTTTGTTTTGTTTTGTTTTTAATTTTGAAACAACTTGCCAATTGTTCAGGCTGGGCTCAACCTTGTGATCTTCCTGCCTCAGCCTACCAGAGAGCTGAGATTTCAAGCATGTGCCACCATGCCTGACTTCTGTGGCCTCTTCTTTGTACATGGTACACACAGACCCACATGAGATGGCCCAGGGCACCACAGCTGCCGATCGACGCCATGTGCCACCTCACCTTACTTCTGACGAGCCATGGTAGATGTGCATTCTCCCTCTTTTTTGGCTGCATCTTTTGTATAGTCCCCGGAGCTTACATCTGTACTGTTACTCTCCATTTTTCCATCCCCGAGATGATAGTCTTGCCTCTTCTTTTTTTTTTTTTTTTTTTGGTTTTTCTCTGGTACCGGGAACTGAACTCACAACCTTGCGCTTGCCAGGCAGGCGCTTTTGCCTCTGAGCTAAATCCCCAGCCCCTCCTGCCTCTTCTTTGTACATGGTACACACAGACCCACATGAGATGGCCCAGGGCACCACAGCTGCCGATCGACGCCATGCAGCCCAATTCACTGAGAAGTAAGTACCTTCCCGAGAGTTACATTAGGGAAGCCCTCCTCAGGAAGAACATTTCTCTACATGCTTGATTTCCAAAGATTATTTCAGTAAGGGTCAAAGGTCTGAGAATAGAAAATTTTCATGCCTCAACTTTTCCAATATGTCACCAGACTTGTTTTGTCATTTGCTTTCTTTTCCAGGGTCTTCGGATTTAGGGAGAGCCTACTGGCACATGCAAGTAGCCAGTTACCCAAATTCAGAGAGATATTTCCACGCACGGGGTAACTATGACGCCGCCCAGAGGGGACCCGGTGGGGTCTGGGCTGCAAAAACGATCAGGTAAGGAAGACTCCCGGGGATGCCGAGAGGGCTGCAGAGCCGGTCTGCCTCATTCCTCCCACCGCAGCCCTCCCTCCCGCCTCTGCTTCCAGGGCTGGGCTGGGCTGCAGAACCAGAACAGGATTGCAGGGACGTGTCTTCTCTCACCCCCAAAGAAAAAGTGAGGCCCGAGGAGGGTGCAGAATCAGCTGATTTAGGTCTTTGCCCAGGAGAGTTGGTATTTTGGCTTGTCCGTATCTGAGGACTTTCCAGCCTTCTCTCAGTCATTCCTTGGGTGGGAGGGCGGGAGGGAATGAAGAAGTGGTGCTGTCCCAGGTGTCAGATTCATCTCCTGCCTCCCTTTCTTGCATTTCAGCACCTTTGGGAAGTATCTTCAGGGCATCTTAAACCGCTTTTACTATGGAAGAAGCAACTACGGAGTAGAAAACATTCAGTCCAACCAGAAAGCTGAGGAATGGGGCCGAAGTGGCAAAGACCCCAGTCACTTCAGACCTCCTGGCCTGCCTGAGAGATACTGAACTTGCTGTTCCTACTGCTCTCAGGGAGCCGCACACCTCTCTGCCTGACACAGTGTTGCTGGCCCTTGTGCCCCCAGGAACTGGTACAGGACACTTAAAATACCCAAAAAATATGTGTCAAAAAATTTGTTGATAGAAACTGGGAACACGGAAACAGATTTTTGGGGAACAATGATTATCTGGTGTCACACAGAAGACAAACAGCCCCACTGAGGATGACCCTGTGATGGTGGGGGTGCAGGAACCTCCACTTGGCCTGTAACAGTGTGTGTTGGTCCGCTTTCCATTGCTGCGATAGGACACCTAAAGATAGCAACTTAAAGGAGGAAGGTTTATTTTGGCTCATGGTTTTAGGGGTTTCAGGCCATGGTAGGTTCTCCCCATTGCTGTGGGCCCCACCCCCACCCTTAGGAGACTCAGTTTCTCCTGAGTAAGCCTATGCTGGCAGAGCATTGACTGCCACGCTACATTCCTTCATGATGGTATTTGTGACTCTGGCATAAGTTCTGGCACCCTCCCATGAATCTTTTCCTTTTTTTCTTTTTTTCTTTTCTTTTTTTTTTTTGGTTTTTCTCCAATACTGGGAACCGAACTCATGACCTTGCGCTTGCCAGGCAGGCGCTTTTCCCGCTGAGCTAAATCCCCAGCCCCCCATGAATCTTTTTCATAGCACAGATCAGACAGCCTTCCCTCTCCCTTACCCGGGCTCTCTGGTTATTTTATTGCTGTTCCCAGGCTTCTCTGTGTACAGACTCCTCAACATTCAGCTCCAGCTCTTGTCCCTTGCTGACCTCTTTTCATGTTCAGAAGGCACATTGTTTTCAGAAGCCTAATCCCATGAGTCCTAGCCTAGAAACTGCCATCTTGGACTCCATTTCTTCACGATACCAGGGCCCACCCAGATTCAGTTTTTAACTAGTCTCTGCTTATTTCACAGAAGGGTATCTCTCACATTAGTTTTCCTTATTGTCATTCTCACTGTGTTTTAATTCAGATAAGATTCTACTTCCCGTTCTAGAGAGGAAGTGTGATATGCAGATAGGTATAGTATGATTAAATATGAATGAATAAATTATTTTACTAATAAAGTCAAAGTTTGCTTTTCAAAAGTCAATCTAGTTTCAAGGAACAGGAAGGCATTAATGAAGAGAGGGATTCTAAAAATGACAAGATGGGGCTGGGGATTTAGCTCAGCGGCAAAGCACCTGCCTGGTAAGAGCAAGGTCTTGAGTTTGATTCCTGGTACCGGGAAGAAAAACCAAAAACCAACTAAAAATAACAAGGAGGGAAATGACTGCTGCATCAAAGTCAAGTGGAAGCCAGAGGAAGGAGAATCAGCCTATAGGGGGCAGGTTAACTCCAAAAGGAGTAGAAATAGCTCTTGCTCTGAAAAAGGAATGAAGGTGAAGAGAATGGGGCCTGGGGGACAGAACATTTGAGATAGCAGACAGGGGACCTGAGGGAGTCCAGTGGTACCTGCTGTTGTTGTATATGACCGCTTCTAGGGCTCAGCATGCTTCTGTGTATTTGTTTATTTATTTATCTGTCTATAGAGCAAGTATGTAAAAAATTAAAGGTGAAAATCTTATCCTTCTCCACTTGCATGTCATCTTTGTATCCACAATACCTACTATAGCTCCCAGCTTAGAGTAGCTGCTCACTAAACATATGCTAAAGTGAATGAGTGAAGTAGATGTGCTCTTTAAAATTTAACAGATCTGGGAGGAGGGTTTAGTTGTAGAAGGTATGAATGTGTCATACAAATTCTGGTCTGCAGAGAGTGGTAATGAGCCATTTTGAGATGCTGTAAGTCTATCCTCAAGTCTATGCTGAAATGCCAGCCACGCTGGGCATGGTTGCACGTACCTGTAATCCCAGCACTGGGGAGGCTGAGGCAGGAGGATCGCTGTGAATTTGAGGCCAGCCTGGGCTACAAAGTGAGCTCAAGGCCAGCTTGAGCTGCATAGTGAGACCCTGTCTCAAAAAAGAAAGGAAAAAAAAAAAAAACAAACAACAAAAAAGAAATGCCAGCCAAAATGATACAATTTTACTTTATCATAGAAAATTTTATTTTCTCTAGCAATGCTTTGCACAATCTCTCATAAAAATGAAAATTATAAACACCAATGTAAATAAACCATTAGTCACAATAGTATCCAATGAGAAGCCTTGAAAGAAAGGAATAGGTATTTTGAATTTTCAAAATATTATATTCACTGTGTTTCTATTAAGCAAATTAACAGAAAACAGTCTCTGAGACACACTATTTCTTTCTATGACACAATAGACTGAAAAATGCACTATTACTTACGTACTGCCAAGAAAAACAAGCTGCCTGCTAAAATAAGACATAATGCTTTCTCTTTACTCAGAGCCTTTATTTTACTTCTGGAAAGTTCTCTTAGACTAACTTTGACAAAGGTCTTTGCTGAGAATGATGCCACTGATGACAGGCAGGTTGGGTGCTGGGAGAGTCAACCCAAATGGAGGCTGAGCAGCAAGTGTCCGTGGAAAGAACAATGAACTTCTTTAGGAAGGGATGGATCAGGGAGTCTTGGTCACCCGCTGGGGTAATTGACGTCTACCTAGCCTTTACTGGACCAGGCATAACCAATTATCTTACCCCCTGCGAGGCGTGTAGGCCTGGCCATTCTGTCTTTATCTTTAATTCTGGCCTCCAACACGTGCTCCTCCAGCCACAGTTCTGATGTGATCTCACAGTTGTGCTGTGTTCTCTACACCGACTCCCTTGAGGGCCTGGCCCTGTCTGCCTGCCTATGTATTTCTACCTGACTCAGCTGTGTATAATAAAAGGAAGCGGCACTATTAGTATTAAAGCTGGGGCAGTAGACCCACCAGGGACTGCCTTATGCACACCAGGACACATGGTCCTCATGAGGGCCCTTGGGAAAGCCCCAGAAGCCTGGAAGCTCTGGTATCTTTATCTGGAAAAAGTGAAAATAGCAGGTGCCATTATGGCAATTGTTCTAAGCCCAGCACTGCACAGAACCGTGTGTCCCTTGCCCGAAGGCAGAGCACATTCAGTAACAAGAGAACATTCAATGCTTGTAAAGTTCCCTGAAGGAATTTCTCCTGGTATCTAAAATTGTATTTCCTTCTGTCTAATGACTTGAATGCATGGAAGTGGGGAGTAGGTTTCCAGCACTGAATGGTCACCAGGGCATAAAATGAGTGTGACAGGTTATTGTCACTGGCAGCTTAGGCTCCTCTGCTCAGGTTCATCTGCTCGCTGCTGGCCAAATCAAAAGAGGCCATGTACTTGAGCAAAAGGAAAAAGAACTTATTCAAAGCTAGATCCAAGGAGCTGGAGGCGCCCCAGTGCCTCAGATGACCATCTCCAGTTTACAGGAGGGTGAGGGTCTTTCATAGTAAGCAAGAGAGGGGAGCACAGGGACAATACAGATCTCCCTATTTGTTTTATAATTTCCCACCATCTTTACCTCATCCTCTTCCTTCTTGTGGAAAACACCAGGCCCCTGGCCTTCTGGGGCAGCCGTCTGCATATTCTGTCACTTCTCTGGGGATAGTGAGAGGAAGCGGGTGTTGCTGTGTGCTCAGCAGGAAGAACTTTGGAATTCTATTTTACATAGCTGGTTACAATTCAGGCTCACACATGAAGCTACCTGTGATACTCCAGCTACCTTTGAGAGAATCCACATGCCAGTGCTACATGCTCTAGTCAGATAGCAGGTACTTCAGTGCCCTCAAAAACGAGGGCTAAAATAAACAAGGGAGGTGTTGTAACCAGCACTGTAAAATAAACTCCATCCAACTGTCCTCCTGCTGAGCACATAGTGACCCTACCTTTCGCACAGAGTCCCACTGTGAGAAGCATCAGGTCTGGTGTCCTCCCTCATCCTCTCTGCCATGTTACACACACATCAGTGTATGGTGGGCAGCTAAGGTTTAGGTAGAAATGATGAGGCAGTCAGACAGGACCAGGCCCTCAAGGGAGTCAGTGCAGAAGATGAGCTACATCACAGTGGTTGCTGAGGCACATCCGTTGAAGGCCAGGCCTTCAGATAAAGATGGAATGAGCAGGCCTACATGCCTGCCTGAGGGATAAACAATAAGCTGAGATTGTACTGTGACTGGTATCACCAAGAACTCCAGATAGACATCAGTCACCCAGGTGGGTGACCAGAACATCTGGGCCCATCCCTTCCCTAAATGCCTGTGTTGCTGCTATGTGCCTCTCTTCCCCCAGTGTATCAATATTAGCTCAGCACCTGTGCTTGTCATCCTATAGGTTGATTGTAGTTTGACCCATGTTGTACACACATTGTGACTTTGCTGTGTGTATTACCCCTGCCAAAGGGCCTTGGTGGCAACCTTATTCTGGGACCCCTCCTGTCTCAGGAGCTATCTCTCAATAAACCTTTCCTACTCTTAACCTCCATGTCCTTTGAAATTCGTTTTTCCATTTTGGGGGACACTAATTGTGCACATTTGACATTTAGCCTGTTGGGAGTTATGTTTCTCCTATACCGGTTCCTTCTTCTGTAAGGAAATCCAATAGCCTTTGAATTTTTTTCCTTTTGGACAAAAGGGAGGGGTGGGATAGGTGAGTGGACCATGGATTCCAATGTCTCAGTAGCACCTGCATGAAGTTTCCTCCCAAGATGATTTCGCTAAGCTCAGAGTAAAGAACAGTCCAGCTTTTCTGGCTAAAACAACTGTTCTCTAACACACATCCTTCCAGCACTCTTGCACTACCCGCAGCTCTTGCTGCTCTCTTCCTGGGTGGACTCTTCTGACAGTTCAGCAGGGGGTGGGCTATTTTCTGCTCATCTTTACACATGCCATTTCTGCATGGCTGATAACAAATTTCTATACTATTGTTCAACATTCCTAGATCTTGCAGCCTCCAAATGTAACCTGTCATGTGATTGTCTATATGACTGATCATGAATCCACTTGAGTGTGGAGGACTCCTTTTCCCAGACCTGGGTCCATCCACATGGACACTGAAAGTTGTGTTTCTGAGTTGTCTGTCTTTTCCTGGCTTCATTCTGAACTGTCCCTTGCAATGGAGTTAGTTATCTCAACAGTTTCACTTACATTGCATTTTCACATTCTTTATACAGTCAAACCTCTTTTTCCAATATTGATTACCCTTTCCAGCAAATTTTCAGAAACTACTGCGTAGAGGGAAAAAAAGTCTTCCAGTCAAGCATAAGACTGGAAGTGGACAGAAAATCCTAACCTGCTCTATGTCTGAAAGTTGCCAGATTGCATAATCTGGGAAAATTAGATTATAGTGAAGAAAAACCCCTGAAGTTCCGGTTGCTGTGTCCACACCAGGAGGGATTGTGCAAGAGAGAAGAGAGGTTGGCTTCATGAGCAGAGTGTGGGTAATATAGCCCCAGCCACATCTGCCCAGCAGTCAGCTCGAGCAGTTAGCTTCACCCGGACCTCAGCAGAATAGAGAGCCCAGGTGAGCCGTGGAACTTTCCCACACTTACTCTTTGGAGGTTCTCTTTCTGTAGCAGCATTCTTGTGCTGCATCTCAGTGCTTTCTATACCCTTCCTGCTGCTACTCTCCTGAAGGGTAGAATTTACCAGAAGTGAGTACTTTATAGGGTAGATTTTGTGGTTTGCTTCTCTGTGGGTTTCCTGATAGGTCCAGCCTGAGTTCCACAGATACTGATATATATATATATATTTTTTCCTCGGTTCCCGAACTCACGACCTTGCGCTTGCCAGGCAAGCGCTTTGTCGCTGAGCTAAATCCCCAGCCCCACTGACTGATTTTTTAAAGTCTCATCTCCTATTGTGGGATGCTGCATCAGTCACAGAATCTCTGAGTGTCTCTTTGAAAGCTCCCTCTACAGGGATGATAAGGAATGATTAAAATAAAAAGTGATTTATGCCAATAGTCCACATTGTGATCTCTCAGACTGGGATTCCAATGAGGTGCATGAAAATGGAAAATTAGACCCTCTGAAATGCTATCCCTATACCCACACAGGTGTATTTGTGTATAAAGTTGAGTGAGGTTTTTTTTGGAATGCAAGGATGTGTCAACATTGCAAATGTAAAATCAGATGTAGCAACCTTTGTTGTTTCATTGAGTGTGAAGCAGGATGAAGCTTTCCATTGGACTCCTTTTCTGCCTTCTGCTCCTGGGTGTTGATGGCCAAAGCTGGTTGTCATTCGTCAAGGAAGCTGGTCAAGGTAAGGGCCTAAGGGAATGGGGCAGCAGGTTGTACCTGACTGTCCCAAAGGTTCATCTGAACAGGTAACACATCCCCAATAATCAAAGGTGCCTGTGTAAGCCATGAATGCATAGACCAGCCACGTGGTTTTTGTTTTTGTTCAATTTTTTTGTGCCAGGAATCGAACTCAGGACTTTGCACTTGCCAGGCAGGCACTTGTGCCACGAAGCTATATCCCCAGCCTCCAGCTGCATGGCTTCTATCATAGCAACTCCCCAGGATTTTCTGGCCCTCTCTGGTACTCTCCTAAGGAGGATTGCCAGGCCTGAGATCATATAAGGTTTTAACAAGTGTGCCAGAGATTAGGAATAGAGGTGTCAGTTCTCTTAATGCAAATGGGACTCTAGTGCCCCCTATTGGGAAATCATGGACAGCTCATTTTCATGTCTCTGGGATAACCATTAAGAGGGTGCATAAAAAAAGTGGAATATGCCACTATTTGCCAGGAAGTTGAGCACAGCTAATACAATCTCCATCTACATAGTAGTTGTAACAACCAACATTAGCTAGAGAATTTTGCATGCACCAAGAGCTTTACAGGACTGAGTGAATTAACTTTTATCCTTTAATCCTGTGAGGTAGGCACCATAGGGAAACAGAGGAACCCAGAGTTTAAGATACCCAACAGAGTTTCAGAGAAAAGCAGATTTCACCCGGGTAGACTTGCTTCTCAGGCTTTTCTCTACTGTTCCCAAAACAAGAGGCAGGGATGTGTGAACAACATCCTGTTCTTGATCTGAGAAATGGAAATAGCCAGGATGGGTGCCTTTGGAGGGCCACTCCAGCTCCTGTGTCCATAGTGAAGGACACAGTGAATTCACTGATGAAAGTTCTCTTGGGCCTGGGATGTAGCCAGGAACCCAACAGTCAGGGAACTACAGCCCTTTAGCTATGGTGGCAGGATTTTGTCTTCAAAATGCAACACTGAAAACTGTAGGCATTGGGGCCGGGGGTTTAGCTCAGTGGCAGGATTTGTTGCTGATCCTTTGTAAATTCTCACATACCCAGCTTAAAATATATTTCATTCTTTCATGTTTTTCAAACATTAAAGACGCCTGGCATGACAATATTGGGGCTCAGGGATGGTTTGGGAAATGCTGGTGCCGCTGTCGATATCCCTCCCCTAAACTACGTTAGAGTCTCTGAGCCTGGATCCTGGAAATCTGGCCTTTACCGAACACCTCAGTGAATTTTATGCATAATAAATAAAGGCTGGGAGCAACTACCTCACAGCCTTTGTAAATTAAATAAACCACAATTACAACTATGTATTAGATACTCTTCCTTTTTCTTATCCAGTTAAAATTTTAAAAATTCATTTAACACTATCATGGCTTACTTCCTTGTCTTTTTTTCCTTATCCTTTCTAAGAACCTGAAGAGTCGAGTAATTACTGAGCACTTATAATCTAGAGATTGCACAGTTATTTTCTCAGTTCTTCTGCAAAACCATGGAGGCTTTCTGCCCCTTCATTTTACCTAGGAGGGCAGTGACATTTTGGACCTGGGGAGTCAGTTGCCCCTTTTCTGCCTCTGATTATCAGGTTGATTTAAACCTCTCTTAGAGAACTCTCACCTTTATTACCTTCTGATTGAATTCATTTTACAATTATACTTATTAATGCATAGTACTATAAAATATAATGGATTCCACTGTGAGGTTTCCATAAATGTACACATAGTGTTTTCATCATACCTACCTATGCTTCTACCCTGTTTGCCCTCTGTCCTCTCCCTGGTCCCCTACTGCTTCTCTAATATTCTCTGTTCTACTTTGAGGCTTTTGTTTGTTTGTTTCAGATATGAGAGAAAACATGTGATACTTGTCTTTTCTGTGTCTGATTTACTCTACTGATTGAATTCTGACATTGTCCAGGCTGAAAAATATATCCAGGACATTCAGATGTACTCAAAACAGGATTGTTCTTACTCTATCCATGAGGATGGATTTTTGCCATTTACTGGATTGTATCTGGAGCCTCCCTCAGACTGTGGTATTCTCTACCTTGGTCAGAAGGTTCCCTGGATCTTTCTAGACAGGCACTGTATTGGTCAGCTTTCCAGTTATTGAGACAAAAGTCCCTGACAGTCCCAACTTAAAGAAGGAGAGGTTTATTTTGGCTCACAGCTTCAGTCCATGGTTGGCTGGCTCCAAGGCAGGAACATCATGGTGGAAGGGAGTGGAGGAGTAAAATGGCTCCCCTCATGGTGGAGGAAACAGAGCACAGGGAAAGAGGATGAGTGAGACAAGTACTCTCCAAATGCCAGCATCCCAAGTGACCCCATCTCTCATACTAGGCCCCGCTTCTAACAGCAAATGAGGTAATGAACATCCATGGATCAATCCATTGATGAGCATAGTGCCCCCACCATCCAAGTCCTCTCCAGGGGTCTCTGAATCCAGACAAGGTGACAATTACGATGAACTGACACAGAGGATCCTTGTAGATTGAAACATCCCTTAAAGCCCATCACACCTCTTCTTTATGTGCTTCTCACATAGTCAAAAACAAAGCAGCAACCAAAGTAAGATGGAATCAAGTGGAATAAAACTTGTACTCAGTGTGACTCCCTCAGCATGAACCCAGGGAGACGAAAAGTAAAGGAATAGTCACATATTACTGTAGACTCTGTCAAAGGCTGAAATTTTTGGACTCAGAGGAAAAAAATTCATTCCTCTATTTGCCACAGCATTATCATCTTCATCATTCTCTTTTCTCTGCCAGGGGCTAGAGACATGTGGCGAGCTTACTCTGACATGAGAGAAGCCAATTACAAAAATTCGGACAAATACTTCCATGCCCGGGGGAACTATGACGCTGCCCAAAGGGGACCTGGAGGTGCCTGGGCTGCTAAAGTGATCAGGTAATGCAGGTTTCCGGGGTGCCAGGCCTGGGTGAGCAGAGGGTGACTGCCTTAACCAGCAAGCAGGGGGCTCCCTCTTGCATGTAGATCCATTGCCTGTGGACACTGTGCCCCTTCCTCCTTTTGCCCCAGCTTCTTCTCTGTGCTTAGTGCTGGGTCTGACTGATCACTGGAATTGATGATTCCCAAGCTTCCTTCTCTTCTGCTGTTTATCCAGTGTAAGGATGGGATGGGCATGGGTGCGTAACAGGGATTCTCAGTATCATCCACAAGGCCCACGTTTCCAATAAGAACGTCACACGCTCTTCCTAGATCACAACAACAAATTGGATTCACAAGCATTGATTAAACATTTTAATGTGTTGTATGTTAAATAATGAGACATCAAATTAAACAACTGGTTCAGCAAGGGCCTCCCCTGCCTTGGCCTTCTTGGGCTCCTTTCAGGACCATTCTTGGGAGAGGGGAGCCACGATGGTGGGGCTTGTACTTATCAGCCTAATGACCAACCTCCACTCTTCCTTTCTTGATTGCAGCGATGCCAGGGAAGGTATTCAGAGTCTCCTGGGCCATGGAGCAGAGGACACAACAGAAGACCAGTTTGCCAATGAATGGGGCCGGAGTGGCAAAGACCCCAATCACTTCCGACCTACAGGTCTGCCTAGCAAGTACTGAGCTTCCTCCTCACTCTGCTCTCAAGAAAACCCAGCTGAGAACCCTTGAGGACCTGGACACATTTGCTTAACTAGTTGCTTAATTTGATGTCCCTAGTACTTAACATAGAACACATAAAAATGTTTAATAAATGCTTGTGAATTCAATTTGTTGTTGTGATCTAGGATGAGTATGTGATGTTCTTATTGGGAACATGGGCCCTGTGGATGATCAATGAATATGATTATTTTTATTTTATGTTTTACAAAATGAGATAAGACACTAGTCATAAAATAGAAATCAGAGATACATTACCTGTCCATACATGGAGCACAACATGGACTAATACATGCCTAGATTATATATTCCATAAAGTGGAGATGGTAAGAGCATCTTGTGAGCAACTTGAACAATAAAGTTTAAAACTAAATAAAAATTTAAAGAATCTTATAAAAATACAATTCACAAATATGAGAAAAGAACTGAAAATTTAAGTTAGTCTATAATTATATTGCAAATTTGATTCCTCTCACAAAGAAAATAGCAGACCCAGATGGTTTGACAGACAAATTTAACCCTTCCTAAAGGCAAACAACTCCCATTTTGTACACACAATTCCAGTAAGTAGAGGAGAAAATGTTTCCAACCTTTTTTACTAGGGTAGAAAACATTTGACATTAAAATAACTGAAAGAAAACAACAAAAAGCAAAAGGGCTCCAGGTTGTCATGCACAGGCTCCAACAGTGATTACCCCTAGAGTGAAAGGAAAGCTCAAGTGATGGTGTGATTACAAAGTGGCTCTGAGCAGGATTTAAATTAACCAATTGGATTTTTATGTTTACTTGGGAGTTGTCCAAGCCTAGACACCTTGTCTGGAGATGGACAGCAGACTCATAGTAAGTGAACCACTATGAGTCACTGGTCCATGCTGAGGCCTGTATTGGCCTGTGAAGCTGTGACACCTCAAAGGACAAGATAAGGCCGTAGCTTAGGAGATTTAGCTCCAACCACAACTGACTAAAAGGAAACTGTAGCTGCAGGCTCCAAAATCCTAAAATGAATGTCATCCTAAAGACAAGGTATTTCTCCTGATTAACATAATTTACTACTTGGGGAATTTCTCCCAAGGACCTGCTCAGATTCATGCATTTTCTTCAGTATTCCCCTCCTTTGTTTGAAAACCAAATAAATATGGGCTACCCAAAAAATTTGTCTTAACTCAAAAAATCTCAAATTCTGCAAAAGGGTCAACACCCTCCCCAAGCCCTAAAATAATTTTATTTGTCTCATTTATTTAAGCCTTCACCATCCACTCATTTGGAGGGTTGCTGGCCTGATCAGCCCACAATAACTAAGGGTTATTAATCCAACACCCAAGGTTATGCCCTTTCCATAATCCTAAAAGATCCTGGAATCTTGGAGGGGGGTGTTTTCACAAACCCCATACAGTTTCTTTTCCAAATTTGATTCTCTTCCCTCAGTCTTGCTGGCCCTGGGATCTCCCATTAAGGTGAAGTGTTTGCAGGCTCTGCCTCCAGCCTTCTGATCCATCCAGTGTGCTGTGTCTTGTCTGCTTCTCTGCAGAATCTGGAGTCCTCACTGGTCTCTCTCCTTGCCTGGGAAGTCTGGTTCAGGAGTATTTCCCTTTCCAACCCTCTCCTTCCTGAGATGATCAGTCCCTGTTCACGGTATTAAGAAATATCTCTCAAAGCCATTTCCCTGCCCTCTTATCCAACTCCTTGACTCAGACCAAGAGAGAACATCACTTCTCAGTGCCCCAGATCTATAACAGTGACTGTCTCCATGGCACTCAGTTCATGCCTCCTGGAAAGCCCTATCCATCTTGTGAGAATTGGTGGCCAGTATGTCAGTTCTCCTGCTGGTTGACTTTAAGCTCCTCTAACACTGGTTAGTGATGACAGTAACAAAAATGTCAGTCATGGTGAGGTGACTACATGCCAGTCTCTGCTTTATGCAATTTCTTGTCTTATCCCATCATGTCTTCACACTTTTTTTTTTAGGAGATTATCAATAGTTGTTGTACTATACTTTGGTATCTTCAAAGTGGCTTCTAAAGAAAATAAATAGAGCTATACATGAGTGACCTATTGAATAATCATTAACTTTTCTCAATGGTTGCTGTAGGGAACACATAATAATAGACATGCATCCATTTACAAAATATGATAGGAACGATACAAACATTGCAGAGTTATGGATAGATTAGTAGGAAAATATCAATGGCTGCTGTAATACATGGTGGTATCTTCAAAGTGGTTTCTCAGGAAGACAGAGATATGCAAGAAGGATCTAACAAGTAGTTACAGCCTAAGGGTTGTCAAAAATCAAGTGAGCCATCTGGGGAGAAAGCCATTTTTTGTAGCGTTTTCTCTCCAGCCTCCCATCGCATTGGGACCCCGCAACCAGTTAGTGTCCTCTCGCCAGCTGTCAGCACAGGGAGCAGGAATCCTGCTGCAGACTTCTCCGGAGCTCCACCACAGCCTGTACTATCAGGGGAAGAATGGCTTCCAGGGAGTCTCCGCAGGTATTGTGCAAGGTCCTCCTGGTTTACAGCTTCTGAGCGGCTCTCATAACCCCAGTTCACAGAACCTCTGACTCCTCAGGCTTAGTCTGCATTCTCATGTTCTTCAAGTCCTTGTTCAGCAACTGCTCCTCTGTTGACTCTGGACCTTTCTGGTTCTCGATGGCAGGAGTAAGTGTGACCCGTTGCATGGCATGTATTCCCAGGTGTTTCTCCATGTTTGAATGATTCACACAAATTCGTGGGCGGGCATCTGCAGCTGGTGCATGGTGGGCCAATTGTGTCATTGTTTCTCTGTGTCATGGTAGTTCTCAATTGAGCAGTGGCGGCAGGCCTGAGGGCTGGTGTGCAACAGCACTCGCTGCAGCGGGGCTCCCTGTGCATGGGGGCCCTCCTTCTGGGCATCTACGAGACAGGCAGCGAGCCAGCCAGAAGACTGGCGCTCCCCGCCTGTGGCTCCCTGTGCGCCAGAGGCCCTCCTTCCAGGCGCCTATGATTCAGGGAGTGAGCAGGTTGGAAGACTGGCACTCCCCACCCATGGCTCCCCGATGTCTTCACACTTTCATTTCCTTATTATGAGCTGAGGAAACTCAAGGCAGTGTTTAAACAGCATCTCCCAATCATGTTGCACGTTTGATGCTAGTGCCAACAATCTTAACCATTTGCTATAAATAGCAATTGTATTGAAAGTGACAGTTGAGAAAACACTTTTTGTCTGAACTGCTTTCTTATAATTGAGACACAACACCCAACACTGCAATTTAATGGAGGAGAGGTTTGTGTAAGCTCACAGTGTGTAGAGGTTTCTGTCCGTAGTCAGCCGGCTCCAAGCCAGAAAGTACATGGGGAAGGGTGTGTGGAGGAAAGCTGCTCACCTCATGGCAGCCAGGAAGCAGAAAGTGAAGGGAGGATCCAGGAAGGGAGACATCCCCTCTCAGGCCCCGCCCCAGGACCTCCCAGCAGCAAGTCAGCTCTAAACTCCCATAATCCAATCACCTTCCATGGGGTCTCCCGTCACATGGGGCTTTGGGTGCCAACTTAGATCCGAGCCATAACACTTTTAGAGACTGGAGCTGTAGCTCATTGGTAGAGTACTTTCAAGGTCCTGGGTTCCATCCCTAGAGCAGCAAAACAAAACAACAACAAATATCCGACTCTTGCATGTACAAGTTCACATAATCATTACTTCAAAGAACGTATTCCCTGTACCACCCCATGGGTCCTCTCAGTGAATGTGTGAATCCCATTTGAAGTCTGTACTGTGGGCTGGAGAGTGGTAAGGGGCTGAGGAAGAAGTACAGAAGTAGTGGAGCAGATCACATTACTGTGTCAAAGGAACTATGGAGAGACGTCTCCAGCCCTGAAGCAGAGTGCATATGACACATCCAACACACACACATAGATCAGCTTTAAATAGCTGCTGGGCCCAGAGAACATGAAACCATCTTATGAAAATATCAGGCAAGTGATTAATCCAATGCTGTTCTCATGAGATCCAAAGAGGAAAAAAAAATACTCAAAACATATATGTGTTTATCTGACTTAAATAAAAATTGGGAAGACATAGATAAGTTATTATAGCAATGCTGATAACTTACAAATGAATTTTAGACTAATATCTTCTTTTTAAATTATTTTATTAAGAATAAAAATCTACAGTAGATGTTTAAATTTAAGCTCTATAGCATAAATCAGCAACAACTGACTTGCTCACATATGTCAATATGATTGTGGGTAAATACAACCTATGTTGCTATGGTGTTATGGTTTGTGTCTGGATGTCCCCCCAAAGCCTCATGCAGTCATGGGAAAGGCTTCTAGAGTTTATGGTTGACTCATGGGTGTGAGTGCTACACCTGCCCTGGGGCAGGTAGCTTGCATACAATATAAGGGAGAGAAAGAGGCTTACTCTTCCTGTGTGCTTCTCCATTTTGTTCTTGCTGATTTTGCTGTCTTCCGCTGCTATGAACTGTTGCCCTCTGCCCTGTGCCATCCTGCCTTGGAGCCAGCCAAGCATGGACTGAAACCTCCACCAACTATGAGCTAAATAAACCTTTCCTTCCTTAATTCTGGCATCATAATTCTGTCTTAGCAATGAGAGAAAAGTAACCAAGACAGAATTTGGTACCAGAGAATTGGGGTTGTTGCTCTGACTATACCTGACCATATGGTTTAACAGCCTTGGCAAATGGCTCATGGAAAGTGTTTGGAAAGGTTTGGAGATGTCGCCTGAAAGAGTACAGCTGGATCGCCTTCGGCCGTTCTGGATGGGAGATTCTGGTCAGAGGTCAGAAGACCAGAAGGCTGATAGAAATTCTGTAGGTAAAGACCAGGTTTGGGAGGTTTCTGCTGGGAAGAAGACTGCATTGGTTGTTGGACTCCAGATGATGTGTGTTATGGCTTGGCAGAAAGTTTGTCTGCATTTTGCTCATGTCCAGAGACTTTGCCTGATACTGAGATTAAGGGCAGTGAACTGATTTACCTGGCAGAAGAAATTTCAAGGCAGTCAAATGTTGAGGCAGTGGCATGGCTATTGTTTGGGGCCTTTAGCCAGATTTATGTTGAGTTTCAAGAGCAAAGAACCCAGCAGGATGGTTTAAAATGCTGTGAGTTTGGTCAGAAAG